TAAGTTCATTATGCAAGAAAAATAAAGCTATTGTGTTTAAGTAAAAGAAAGTTGCTTGGCTCCGGCTCTTTAACTTCTTTGATGAGAGAGAGGGCCTTCTAACTCATTACAACTCACTCAAATCAATGACCCTGCTAAACAAGGGTTTTTCAACTTCATCTCTCTTATCAACTCTAACTTTTGATAAGAATTGGATCTCTCACAACTCTTGGATCTAACTATTGGGAGGCAACATTCCTTTTCCACTATACGCTTTAATGAAGCACATCAATAAAATAGACAAAAAGAAACAAACAAACACAATTCATCCCAAACAAACAAATATAAGCAGAAAAAGGGTGAGGAAGAGAACACCAATTTTAAAAAGTTTGACAGCTCGTTGTAACAATCAACGACCATTTTTATGGGGAACTTGGAAGTGGCTTCATGTTCAAGGGTAAGCCAAGGATGTACATCAATTTTAACTTTGAACTTCTAACAAAATCAAATGTACTTTTGTTCAAATTTGATCGCCTTCTAAAAGTCCACCTTAGAAGTGGATTTTGGATAAAAAAATTTACAAGTCAATAATCTCAACCATTACGATCGTGAACAATACTCTCTCTCTTCTATATATATATAGGGAAAAAACTAACAAACATTTGACAGCTATAATGAATAATAATAGAGGTGAAATCACAGATGTCAGATCTTCATCGGTGGTTCAAAAATATATAAAACAAATATTTTTAACATATGAGAATGACCAAAATATCCCTAAAAAATTACAGGACTAAGCATAATATAGTTACGTTTTTTATTTGATTTACATAGTCTTTTTCAAATAGTAGAGTTAGAAACGGTTTTAGTGATGATGAACTAAGGCACCTATTCAAGTGTGGTCTCATTCCAAAAATATTTCTTAGAGATGGGATTTGGATATGAAATTCTACAGCTTGACAATCTCGACTTGCACAATCATAAATTTAAAATATATTTTAAACTTTAAAAACATGTCGTTTTAAAATTTTCATAGACTATTCATTTTAATTCTTTTAAAATAAAATATCATAAAATTTAAATTTAAATTCAAATTTTATTTTTTAAGATTCATAATCAAAGTGGTTGAGATTATTGGCCTATAAAAGTTTAGTCCACAATTCATTCTCCAAGAGCGATTTTGGGAAGAGGACCACATTAGCAACACATAAACTTCTCGCTTTGTTTTCCTTCAAAAAAACATAGGATAAATCATGAAGTTTCAATAAGGTTTGGTTTGGTTAGAATTTCAAAGTTCAAATTGATGTACTTCCATAGTTTACCAGTAAACATTATTAAGGAAAGTGTACATTGTTTACAGGGTTACTATGACAAGTGTATGTGATTAATATGTATGGGAAAAGTAGGTGCAATATCTTGTATTTTATGGTAGGTCTCAATATCTTATATGTGTTTATGATTCACTTCCATTCCTATCGTATATCCCAAGTTTATCTTCAAAAAACTTCGGACTTTAACAAACATGATGTCATTTCAAAGCATTCCCCATGAACTGGCACAAAAAGTTTTCTTTCAAGTTAGTGGTGAAGGTTTTTTATTAAAATAATTTTTATCTTCTTTACCATTTCTTTTTTTTAATTTTTCAAGGGAGATTTATCAAAACTCTTTAACATTTTACCTATTTCATATAAATTAAAAAACTCATCAAAATGCAAATCTTGGAATATTTAAAAATGGTTAAAATATTAAAAATTTGATAAATTAGTTACGTTCTAATAAATTTTACTTTTTATATTGTCGATGATTTACATTTGCTGCTTTGTTTTTTCTCTATTTTGTGGTTGGTTTTCATTCGTGCACATAGAGGTGAAGGAGTGTTGCTTCTTAATAGTTAGACCCAAGATGTGGGGGGATAAGTACTTCTTAGCAATGTGTACATAGGAGGAGGTAAGACTTAGGAAAAAATAGTGAAAATGTTGGAGAGAGAGAGAGAGATCCTCCTTTGAGTAGCATCATTAATTTAAACAAGGTTGTGCATGAGCTTGTTACCGGTAAGAATCATCATGATCGTCCAAGTTTTATCCCAATAATTTGGGATCGACAATATGAATCTTATTTCATACCCTCAGTCAGACCATTAGTCACTAGATCTAATCTCATTACTTCCATCAATATCTATTTGGGCCATCCCCTTGTCCTTTTAATGCCTTCCATTTGAACTAAATCTCTCCGTCAAACCCACTATGTCTTAGGTAAATACTACACATGGCCAAGACCATCTAAGTCTACTTTCTTTCATTTTATCACTTACTGGATTTATTCCTAAATCTCCTCGAATGTATTCATTTCGAATTTCATCTTTTATTATCATGCCACTCAGCCATCGCAACATCCTCATCTTAGATACACTAACTTTATGGATATTTTATTTCTCGAGTGCTCATACATTCCACCCCATAAACCATGGTGGTCTTCCAACCATCCCATAGAAATTCCCCTTTAGTTTCATTGGTATGTGACGATGACATAAGACTTCAGAAGCACATCTCCACTTCATCCATCCAACTCTAATCATATAAACATCTTTCTCAATTTCTGCTATCTCATAGATTTCAACCCAAGATATTCAAATGTTATTGGTGATGATACACACCCTAAAATATGAAAGGAATTATGGGGGTGTTGGAGAAAGAGAGAGCAATCAAAAATGCACAAGAGGCATGGTTACAGCTTGAGCAAAGAAGCGATGATTTTTATACCTATTTAGAGCAGGATAAGAATTGTATGCTTCAATAACTAAGGAAAATTATAGTTCATGGGAGTGAAATGAACTTTGAGGTGGCTACAGCACCCCAATGGCAAGTTAAATCCTCTCCATTATTGGACATCATTTTATTCGATACTATGCAATATACTTTTCTTTTTAAAATTTGCCGCATCGCTCTCAATTATCATTATAATTTAAGAGGTGGCATCAAGTAACCTTTTCTTTTTTCTTAAACACACACTAGCTTCTTTTTTTTCCGCCTCTTAAATGTATAGTAATGGACTCATATTGGTGAATCTGTTGTAATAGAAAAGAAGAAAGTCTATTGCTCATTCTCGGACCTAAATCATCCAGGAAAATCATGAAATAAAAATACCAAAAAGGGTTACCATCATTGCTTTGTATATTCAATATAAGCATAGTTCGAACTTTGAAGAGATTTAATTCTCTGGATTTTGGACCAGCGAACCAAAGTTAGACTCCAATTCCTTGTCAAAAAAGTTTTTATCTCATGTTATTAGCATTTTGTGGAAGTAATTAACCAAAAAGAAAAGAACAATTTGTTAGAATCCAAGTGTTTAAGATAAGATAAGGTATAATACTGTCAATAATGAATATGTATGCGATAATAGCATAAGATAGTCATAATCACTTCTAGCTTTCAAATATAAAAATCTAGAGGTGATGATTGTACTTTCATAACCCTCAGTGATTGAATTTTTTTATTTTTTGAACTTTGTATAAAAGAAGAGCACATCCTAACCACCCAATTCCACATCTAACAACTAACGATAGTTGTAGCCTTCTTATACCATAGGTACCCAGTCTACAATATGGATCCCCAATTAACAAGATAAGTATATATGTTTTGGAGCCTCCATTTGTTTATATTTTTGCCCCTCTATGTGTATCCCTTAAATCATTTTGACTATTTCAATCTTGTTGCCTTCTTTCTATTTTTCACGAGAGATCATTTCAAGGTATTACTCTAAAACTTGCAAACAAACCCTCTATCTGAACCTATAAGTATCAAATGGCTCAAGAGAAACAAGCCGCATGAAATGAAATACAATACCTGGTTCACTGTATATTGGGGTGAGATTGCAAGAATATGAATTGCAGGTATTGTGGTGGAGTAAGTTTCAAGCTGTTGACATGTTGTAACATGAACATGAGTGAAATCTTCATCGGCTTCTACTCGATTTCTCTCGTTGTTTAACTCAACTTGATTAGCAAGTTTCAAAGCATCTACATTCATCATTAAAGAACTCACAGATGAATTGGCTAAGCATTCAACCACTGATTGTGAATGATCTCTGTCAATCAAAATTTTGTGAGTATTGGAAGAAGATTATTTGGGACATGACATTTTTTTTGTGTGTATTTATTTATTCGTTATAGAGAGTTGGCCCTGATTTTTTTACGCATAATATTGTTCTTTCTTTGGTTTTATATTATTTAACGAGTTATTTCTTTCTCAGTTATTTATAAAAGTACCTCAAGGAGAGTATAGCGTTGGAATCAATGAAATTATGTTGTGGGAAGTGTGTTTCCGAGTGTGAAAACCAATCTGTAATGTGAATCGAAATGACTGGTAGGAATCCATTAGCATTCAAACTCTCTACATGAAAATAAGTTTGTATTTTTTTATGTACCACAAGAGTCAAGCAAGTATGATAATCACAGAAGAAAAGGTTCCTATTTCAGTTTTTGGAATTATTGCTTGAGAAAATAATGTTTTACATGTGAATTAGTTGGGTTGTAAGGTGCAAGCCCAATTCATACTAATTCACACTGCATAAAACAAACAAATATTGCTTAAGCTTTTTTCTTTTTGGGTATAATAAGACCTTGACGACAAATTTCATACGAACAAAGAATGATTGCTATGTATATTGAGATCTTACTTTGCCATTGCTCTCTTGGCTAGGTGTATCTTCGAGGATATGCTCATGGTATTTTGCATCTGATGGCGACGTTATCTCAATGGGGTCGCCCTCAAAATTATAAAAGCAAAGATACCCTCAAAATTATAAAAGCAAAGATAAAAATGTCAAATTTTGTTTTCTTTGATTGCTAGTTAGATTAATTGTTTGGTTAATGATTTGTTTACCGATTAGTAAGAAAGGCGTACTTTAATTTTCTTTGTGCTTCCTCCAATTGACACTGAACCCCATTAATTTCTCGCTAAACCTCCTGAAATTTCCAAAGTAATGGGTTCTCATAAGGAAAACAAGAAGGAATTAGAATCACATGATTGCAAACAAATATTAAAGATCAAATATGTGTTACAGGGATTGTCTATTATTAGACCGTTTAGCTTTGTAATACATAGTAGAATTTCTAAGAAGAAATCAAAGAAACGAAAATTGGAATAAAAATAACAATGGCAGAATAAGCTAAGCTTCTTAGCTCTTTAATTTAACCAGGACTTTCAAAACAAACAATGTTTTACTTTGCTTCTAAATCTTCTTCGGACTTCGGAGTTAAAACCTTAACCCTCAATATAGTTAAAACCTTAACCCTCAATATATCTTTATTCTAGTATAATTAGAACTTCGGAGTAAAATATACCCTTGATAGAATAAATAATTTTATAACGACTCTAGTTGAATGCCTCTAAAATTCCAAACACTAAAAAAACCTAAACTTTCTATTAAATTGAAAGTTTTTAAAAGTAAAGCCTACAACATCCCAAAATATATTCATAAAATTTAATAGAAATTAAAAATGTACTAGGCCTCTTGGAGTGCACCATTTTAGTATAAGACTAGAATATCCATCAAATTAGAAATCATACAACTTAAGATGAATCACAAGTTTAAGAACACTTTTGCTGGACTTTTAGCAAGTCTCAAGGCACATTCCTAATAGTCCGACATCACATCTAATGACTAGGAACAATTGCGACGTTGTTATAACACAAGTAAAGAATCTTATTCTATAATTTTCGATAAGAAGTTGTGAGCATACCTGAATACGTGGTCAGGATCGTTTGAGATGATTCAACTAAGTCCACAAAGAATCCAACAGTAAGAAACAAAACAAAACATTCAAAAGAGATAAGCACAAATGAAGCCCTTCATTTCCAAATGAGAGAGAGTGGGAGAGAGAGAGAGACACCTGCTTATCTCAGAGGCCAGATTATCTTCAGACCTTTTCTTCCAAAGGTCTTCTTGGACAAGCTATTTTACAAAGTCGATCGTAGCGCAAATGTCATTTGAGACTGTGTACTATAAGATCATTTACCATTGTTATAAGTACTCCTAGATCTTAGATATCAAATCGAATAGCTTGAGGTGTGTCATAAAGTATGAGAAATTCCTTTTAGCTTTGAGCCTAGTCAATTACATACAACCATCCGATTTAAAATTTGATAGAAAAGATTAAGTGTGACCTCCTTATACTAAAATAAGAGGGAAGTTATATGGGACTCCACTTCTTAGTTATTCGATCTAAATCAAACAGCTACGTCTATACCACAATGTCACGCCAAACACTATTTTTTTTTTCATTTTTTTTACAAAACCATTTTAAATAAAATTTTGGGCATCCAATCATAAACTTAGGGCGAAGCTAGAAAAAATTAAAATAAATATTTTCCATAAAGATAAATGACTAAAATACCCCTGAAATGTTTAGGGTATTCTGCTAATTTTTTATAATCCGATTTTTTTTTTTTCTTAACCATGTGCACCCTTGTTAGATCTATGCATGCCCCAAATTTTGGCTTAAAATGATTTATAGAATAAAAATAAAATAAAAAACTCTGAGTCATTCGATCAAGATCTAATGGTTAAGAGCTAGCTTGTAAGTCAAGCCATCTCAGCCATCTACTCAGATTTGACAGCTGAGATCGGGATCACATATACTATATATGTGGGTGGGGTTCCAAAGAAACATTTCCCCTAAAATTAATGGCATCTGTATATACGTTTCTACATTATTATCAATGCGACTCAAGAGTAAACCAAACCACAAATTTTAATGCACACAATCACAAAACAAGAGAGATATGATACTTGTTCATCTTGAAGCCTTTGTCAAGTTTTCTCTTTGTTTTTGTAGTTGCATAACAAACAAAAATGGCACATCAAATGAACTTAGGAGTAAAACAAAAAGGAAACATGAGAGCTTAATAGAGGACACAAATAAAAAGCGAGTGGAACCTATAAAATATTAAACTATTATCTCCCTCGTACATGCACAGGAAGGTTCATATATTGAGAAAAAATATCTTCAACCCAGGACATAAACAAAGGAAAAAAAAGAAAGAAAGATAGAGATATAGAGGTTTAGTCATGATGAAAGAAAGATAAAGATAAGAGATTTAGCCATGATGAAACTAAATATTCAATGTAATAAAAAAATAAAGAAAGGGTTAGTTTAGTGACCTATTTTTCCCAGAGAAAACATTGAGCTTTCCATTTTGGCAGAATATGATGAGAGCAATATCAATGTCACAAAGAACAGAGAGCTCATTGGCCTTCTTGAGGAGGTCATTCCTTCTCATTGAGTAGGTAGGTCACTTGCATGTTTGTTTTGTTCTCTATCTTTTTTACTTGAATCTTTACTCGCCTCATTGTCTCCTTGCTGATGCAGTTTTGACCCAAGAAGCAATTCAGGCCAATTTATAGGCTTAAGAGCTCCTTGCTTAAAAAAGGTGGAGAGAGAGACAGGCCAATTTATAGGCTTAAGAGCTCCATGCTTAAAAAAATGTGGAGAGAGAAGGGCTGAAAAAGCTGATAGCAGGTCCTGCCCGCATGGTTGACAAATACAAAGAATGGAATCGAGGGTAAAGGGAAATTTTACGGGTTTGTAAGTGCATTTGAGAGAGACAGATGGGGGGGGTGTAAGTACGTTTTATTGCATGCTCTATCTTTGTCTACGTCATAAGTTTATTCTTGTGTATTCAAGCCATAGTTAGCAAATTGACAATTAAAATGCATTTTTTTTAAAAAAAGGTGTTTTTATAAAAGAAACATTTAAAACAACCACTTTTTGAAAACTTCGGCAAAAAAATGAGTTTTTTTCAAAAAAACGTTTAAAACACGATTTTAAGAAAAACAAATTAAATTGGACCCAAAAACCATGTCATTTTTCTACCTGTATTTTTTTTTTTTGAAAGATAAAAGCTTTTTTCCTATTTTCATACTTTCTAAGAAAAACATATTATTTCCAAAAAACTCCTAAAATCGAAAAATTTTATCCCCAATGGGTTTATGGATTGTTAGACTTTGTGTTGAAATCATGTTGTTCTTCAAGGCCACAGTTGCAGATTGAATGTCTGATTTTTTTTTCTCTTTTTTTAACTTAAGCATATAGATGCAAATTTCAATAGTTATTATGGAAAATCATCATATAAAGGAAACACTGTTTATGTCAAATCATTGTGTAAAAAATATAATATGGATGTAGATTTATGTGATTATTTGTGATGATAGTTATTATGAAAATATTGTCTATGGCATAAAACCATCCAGATTATCATAAATTACGGCTCAAAACCATCCATATTATCACAAATTGGGGCTCAAACCATCCAGATTATCACAAATTAGAATCAAATTAGAATAAAAAAAATGAAAACCATTGAATAAAAAATCTATCAAATTGTGGCTTGACAAAATTCCACCAAAAATTCAATCCAAACTAAGGCTCAAAGACCATCCAGATTACATAATTTATACAAAATCTTAAAAAAAAAAAAGCTTAAAAAAATAGCAAACCTAATCATTGTTCCTCTGTGTACCTGTTGCTTCTGACTCTTGCAAATTACAGAGGAAATCATAGATTCTTCTTGCAAACCTAATCACCAACTCTTCCCACAGGTTATACCCAGATTGTTTTTAGGGTTTTGGGATCTTCTTGCTCCTGCAAATTACAGAGGAAAAAGAAAGCCTATAAATAGAGTGATGTTACAGAAGAAAGCCTAATCATACAGATTTTAGGGTTTTGGAGTCTTCTTGCTCCTGCAATTCGTATATCCCCTATTTTCTTTCTCAGTCTAAAACCACTATACCCAATTCTTGTACCTCGCATTGAACCACAAGCTTTGAATCTTCATGCTCCTACAAATTAAAGAGGAAAACCCAAGACAACGAAAGACCGCTTTTCTTCTCTAGAAACATAGTGCCCATATGGTATGTTTCTCTCTCTAGAAACAGAGTACCTAAATGCTACGAGCCATATTTTCAATTAAAGAAGTGTATATACTAAATGAGAAAAACAAATTGTGTTTGGTATGTACTTAAGTAAGTGTGATGTTTGTTAGTGTATTTAATGAGAAAATTTATATGGTGTATTTTTTTGGTATGTACTTAAGTAATTTCGATGTTCATTAAAGTATTTAATGAGAAAATTTATATGGTGTATTTTTTTTTTTAGTATGTACTAAATAGGTGTAATTTAATGAAAAAAATTAATATGGTGTATTTATCATGAACTTATTATTTTATTTTTTATTTATACTTAATTTTATTTTAATTGTATATAATGCAAATTAAACGCATAGTTTATTTTCAATGCTTTTGTTAACTAGCCTGCCAAGCTATTTTATGTACCCCTTAACTAGTTAAGCTTGTAGATTCCTTTGAGGTAGTTCATATGAAGAACATGAACCCCTAATGTACTTATATATTCTATATTTTTTATTTTATTTAAAAAGGAAAGAATAAACAATGGTTAGGTCAAGATCATTTTTTGGGATTATTGTGAAGAAAGAGGACATGAATTGTGTTACAAATTTTACAATGAAAACTTTCTACGAGATAACAAAATTCAAATATCACCATGAGAACAAGGGAATGACATAAAAGCTTGCCCTCAAGTACCTGATGATGTACAAGATTTGGTTGTCACTGCGACACACGAAATATCTTTTAAGCCCCCAAAGAAGAAGAACTAAATTACATCATATGTTCAAAATGTGATCAAGGTTCGATAAACTTAGGTAATTTTGATGCATCACTTGGTACATCTACCACTAGTTCTCGTTTGCAATAAAGTTCTTTACCATCATTGTTTAATAAGAAAAATAAAGATTTTATTGACAAAGATGTGGCTTGTGCATTAATCATGAATAATACTGTATTCAATGTTATCAGTGCACAATTATTTGTTAATATGAAAAATACATGTATCAATTTTGGTATTGGTTACACATTATCAAGTTACTCATTTGTTCTCACTAAATTGATACAAAAACTTAAGATAGAAGCCGCTGCACATGAAGAATCAATAAAAGATTCATGGGTTCAATCAAGATGCACTTTTATGTTAGATCTCTAGTCGGATATGAAAAACCAGTCATTCCTTAATGTTGTTGCATCTTGTCTTTAAGGATCAATTTTTATAAATGCATTTGAGGTATCTGAGTATAACATAATTGAATTATTTATTGAAAAAATTATTATTCAAGTCATTCAGGAGTTAGGACTACAAAATATTGTTTATCTTGTAACTGACAATGAATCAAATTATATACTTGCTAGTGATCTAATAGAATCGAGATTCCCTCATATTCATATAAATATGGTGTACTACCCATGAGTTGTATTTCCTTCTAGAAGATATCAATAAAGATGTCATTTGGGTACAAGATGTCATTAAGGATGTTAAGTTAATAGTGTATTATATGTATCGGCATACCATTATTTTAGATTTAATGATAAAACACATAATAGAATGGAATTGAAAAAGTATGGTAAAACTAGATTTGCCACTAACTTTTTTATGGTTCAATTTGTATCGCAAGTAGAAGAGGGTTCGAGATTGATAGTTGCATCCTTTGAGTGAAGAGCTATAAATTATAATAACAGTAAAAATGGGATAAAAATCACATGAGTAATTCAAAGCTCCAAATTTTGAAATGATGTAACATATACAATCACCACATTAGAGCATCTTATCAAGGTGCTTCATTTTGGTGATAGTGAGGGGTCCACCATAGGATATTTATATGAAACAATGTAAAGGGAAAGGGAAGAATTAAATAGAAATTGTAATAGCAATGAATCTAGATATCTTGAATTGTTGAAGATATTTGAAAAAAGTGAAAAAAAAATATAATTCACACCATTTATGCTGCTGCCGCATTTCTTAATTCAACTTTAATGTATGATGGGTTTGTTAAATTTAATCCTGAAATGAAGGTTTACTTTACCTTGATTTGAAATACAATAATCCAGACCTAACATAACAATGTATTTTTCTCAGTGTTGTTAAAGTACCATACGCGGGATTCAAATATATTTGATGGTGTAGTAACGGGATTATTATCAATAACTCATCCTCGTAAGTATCTTCTTGACTATTAGTTTTTTATATCTTCTTGCATTATTTATTTTTTTAGTATTTTAAGAAAATAAATTTTATTTCACTTTTAATTGTATCTTGAATATGTGGCTAAAAATTTTTCATTATGTAAGAGTTTGGTAGGAAGTATATGGAGAAAACATTTCATTGGTTTGAATGGTTGCCATTCAGATTTTGAGCCAACCATGTAGCTCATTAGTGTGCAAAAGAAATTGGAGTGCTTTTGAGGCGACTCAAACAAAAAAAATAAACGGATTGACACCAATTATGTTAACTGACTTGATTTACATAAGAGTGAACTCGAAGATGATGGCTGCATCTTGTGAAAATGAAATTCATGATTGTAATGCAAATAATTTTGAACTACTTGGTTTTTTGCCATAAGAGGTCTCCGTAGAGGCGGAAAATGAAGACACCTTCCCAAATGATGATGATGATGATGATGATGATGCAAGGCTACATGACTTGGGGATTACACATTTCCAAACTCCTAGTTTTTTATTGACTCTACTATGCCTTACGCTTAATTTTTAATATTTCTAGTTAATTTTATATTTAATATTAGATGATAGGAAGAGAGTCATGAGACATCTAAATTAATTTACTTAATTATATTAATCTAATAAAACTTTTATGGATGGATTAATTATTGATGGCTTTGGCATATTTTTTATTTTTTAAAATTTCAAAATTTCTAATATTTTAAATCCATCTTTTTACTCCGATTTTTAGCCTAGTCTGAGATATTTGTGATATCTTTACATGAAGTATTTTTATCGATTTGTATTTTTCACCAGATGTTTTCATTCGACTTTTTAAAATACAAAATACTTATTTTCGATTTTTTGGTGACTGATTTATTGGTAGTCCCTGACTTGCTAACAATGATTCTAGCTACAAGAGGTGTTACTTCTCTCTAGTGAAGCAATAAAAATGCCCCAAACAACATTTAAAATTTCACTTTCTTCTTTTCTTCTTCCTGTTCTTTTTATGATTTGTTGACGGTGGGAAAGAGGGTATAAGACGTTACGTTGAGACATCTGCCCCCCTTAACACTTTTTTCATAATTTATTTTTAATTGCTAAATGACACTTTTTTTCATAATTTATTTTTAATTGTATCAAGTAATCATAGTAAACATATTCATATCATCATCATGAGAACTTTTTTCTAACTAATTGGGGATCAGCTACATGAATCCTAGTCCCGGTTCTGTTCTATTTAAGCCATTCCCATACTGAGGCCACATAATAAATAAAAAAATTGTTCTTTAATGACATTGTGCCAAGATGTATCTTTTCCATCCCTTCAATAAAAAGCTGCACCAAGATGCAATTGAGCTGCATTTTCAATAGCAACAATTTTCGATCCGACAATTCTACTTGCGCCCACAAGAATTATGAATCCCCATAGAACTGTAAAGCCTTGTTTCATCTAAAACAATAGAGGGCGAAGGTGCATTTTGGTGCGACATTCACATACAAAAATTTCACTACACAACAAGTTACTATGTAAGCATGCCAAGCAAGCAAAGTAGTTACTGACCATAATAGTTTTCTCCTCTCATTGCTCTTTTCTATATCTATATCGTAACTAACATAATGGTTGAGTTTTCGTTCGAAGAAAGTACTCCATATATTTGCTATTTATGACATCCATGGTATGTGGCCACAATGTTCATTGTTGGTTATTAATAAGACGTTAATGACGGACACCGTAAATTAGTTGTTTGAGGTTTTGTTCGTAATAGTAGCTGGCTACAATTATGAATGAGTAATGATCTTGTGAGACCCTCCCACACCCATGTGTGTAGGACCCCAAAAGATCACCATTAAATATGGTTAAGATCTTTAGAAAAGTTATCACATGGGTGTGGGATTTGACTTTTCTAGAGATCTGGACCAAATTTAATGGTGATCCTTTGGAGTCCTACACATGGATATGGGAGGGTCTTATAGGATCATTACATATTACGAACAAAACCTCCTAATAAATGTTACGAAGTAATGCTAGTGTTTTCATCTCATGGCAAGGCATAGAACACAATGTTAAACGTTCGACTTTTATCCTGCATACTGAAAAATCATCAATGTCTATAGTTTCTATTTCTTCCTAATATTATTGTTTTAATTTCAAAGTTATAGCTTAAGGCTATGGCATAAGTGCATTCTAATTGAGTTATAAGTACCAACTAATTAACTATAATAGTCCAATTTGGAATAAGTAGAAAGTTCTTCCCCTTGTACCGACAAATAAAGGTAACAAAGTGGCTAGAGAAAAGGGTATTCTAGTCAATTTTTCCTAGAGGGAGTGCTGCTTCCACCTAAATGAAAACCTAGAGGTGGTCATGATAATTCAATTCATATTGCAAACGAAGCAAAAATAAATAATCAGGGTAGGAGATTGGAAAACGTAAATTATATAGAATTGGACTGGCCACGGAACTATGAAGGGTGTAGTCCAGCCAAAATCTATTGGACATTGGTCAAACTTATCAGTTGATTTTTAAAAATAAATAAAATAAAAATTAAATATATTACAAGAAATGGTTATCCAAACTTTTTTATGGGGTCAAAACCAACATGTTCAGTTGGTATGATACTAGATGTGGTTAGTTTTAAACCAAATCTGACTTTTGCTTTGGGCATGACCATCTAAGATACTTGTCTCGAGTCCTACTCTTGATAATATTGGTTTAGTGCTATGTTAAAAATTATGCGTTATAATGGAAATGAGTGCTTTTACTAGTACATCAGATATAAAAATTAGAGAAATTTATCAAAATACTTATAAGAGATAATACTATTTAACATTCAATCTATTTACAACTATTACGACTCAAGATTATGTGTTTCTTAAATTAAATCATAAGATATAGGTAAGTTGTTAAATTATTCATCTCTCATGAATAGTTTAATAAATTTCACTAGAATTTATAACTTTTCTAGTTATAAATTTGGCACGGATGTGTGTAGGACCCCAAAGGATCACCATTAAATTTGACACAGATCTATAGAAAAGTCAAGTCCCACACCCATGTGATAACTTTTCTAGAGATCCGTGCCAACTTTAATGGTGATCCTTTGGGGTCCTCTACACATGGGTGTAAATCTTGTTATATTTTATACAATGTCATCCATTATTATTGTAAATGTTGGTGACGCTTTTGATGGTGTGCTCAAAAAACTTTCTTGATGAATATTTAAACAATTGGTATATCTCTTTTGGGTAGAGGATTATGCCAATGTATAACCATGTTTTTTAAAGATATTATTGAATTGAATTGATTATAAGATAGGAAAAATTATGTATATATCTGTTATAGTTTTCGTTATAACCAAAGTACCAAATAGTTTTCATTATTACTGGAATATCCGTTTTTTTCACTTTATAACGAAATTTTTTAAAAAAGACTTTTTTTTACCCTTTTTCGGTTTTTTAACAACCAAAAATAGCCTGAAGCTTCGAATTTGCATTCTTATCGGTTTGTTGAACAACCGAAAATGTCTTGTTTTCGGTTGTTGGACAACAAAAAATATGACTGCGTATTCCAAAAGCTTGCTGAAATACGCGATCCTATTTTCGGTTGTTCAACACCCGAAAATGTCTAATTTTCGGTTGTTCAACACCCAAAAATGTCCAATTTTCGGCGGTTCAACATCCGAAAATGTCATATTTTTTGTTGTTGAACAACAGAAAATAGGACAGAAGCTTGTAATTTACATGCTTATTTTCGATTGTTGATTAAGTGAAAAATATTCTTCTTTTATATTGTATGTACTTAATGAAAAACCAATTAAAAGTTACATATACTCAAGTGATTCTTAAGGGGTGTGCTCATGCAAGGAAGAAGGCCCATAATTAAAAATTATTTGTATTTTTGGACGAGGAAGAAAAGCAGAGGGTATTGTATTCACAACTTTGAAGAAGGCAGTAGTAGAGTAGAGATCTTACATGATTTGAATTATAGAAACATAATGGAAGGGATGGTCACCATTTTATTTTCAAAGACGGCATTATTTATGCAAAACAAAATTATTTGGGAAAAAGTATTAGGGCACTTGTCAACCACATATGTTATCAATAGCTCTATTATGTTAGCAAGAATGGGTATTTGAAAAAGAAAAAAAAAAAACCATACATTTGTTACATTAACTATAAATGTGTTTTAAAACTCAAACTAGCGATCAACTAACCTTACATATTAAGATACTCTAGTTATTCATATTAGGCCTACGCTTTATGAAAACAAAATAAAGCCTCACTTCAAATCCTCGTCTTTTCAGCAAACAAAATCTTCATGATGACATAAAATCAATTTTTAATATAAAAAATAAAATTTGAAATTCAAAAAATGGTATAGATCTTGCTGATCTTTGAACACTTATTTTTATCACAAAATAGATAGTCTAGATAATTTTTTACAATATACACTAATCTTAGAGCTTGAAATCCTAATTTTTTTCACTACAATAGATGATTGATATAATGGTTTTCCAATACTGGCGTTGTAATTTTTAATGAATTATGAGATGAGGCTTAACTTATTTTGATAGATTTGCAGCTTTATCGAATCATTTTTCTATATATATATATATATATATATTT